AAAGGGATACTCAAATTAAGAGTAGGGCCCGTATATATAGCCAAATAATAATAAAAGTGACCTAAACATCCTTGTGGTCTAGGCAAAATATAAAAGTCATAGGAAGGATAAAAAAGGGAAAATAAATCCTAATAATCTAAGCTATAACTCCAACAGGATGCCATTGCTTCAAAACCATGAGTTTACCCACACAAAAATAAGGACCACCATCAAGAATTGTATTAATAGCTTCCATGTGTTTAATCTTAAAGATATGAAACCCATTGTCCAAAGTTAACACTTCAACAAGATCATATTTTCAAGTCTTTTCAGCCCACGATTGCACAAAGAAATAGGGTTGTTTCTTGTCTAAAAAATAGTCAATTAGGGCATTCTCCCATAAAGAATATCCTTGCTTAGCAATTTCCAATGGGACTTCATAAGCCTCACCCTTAACAAGACCAATATTATGAAATTTCAATTTTGAGCTAGTAGGAAACTTTTCATTACCTTGAAAATGTTGCTTCATTTGGGTTTAATAGTGTATTGTCTATTTTGACCCAACTCCAAATCAATAAGCCGATAGTTTAATGCTCCGTTGTCAGCATCATCATGTTTCTCGTTCATTAGCTTGGGCAGAAAATCCAAATTTGCATTTGGGGAGGTAGCCGAACTATTTGATTTGGCCATTACCACTTCATCTTGGTTTGAGTTCTTTAAAGAAGATGAAGTTGAAGCTCCCGATGCAACCTTATTTGCATCTTGTTCCTTGTGGTTATCATCCAAAGTTGACCAAGGCATATACCCAACAATAAAGGTTGAAGATGGATAGAGACGTTCCTCAATGAAATCTCCCATATATGAGGGGTTTGCTTGGCCGAGAATGTGGGTTGGGGTTCTCCTCGCTCTCACTGTCTAGTGAGTTACGAGCACTGATATGGATAGGGGATAGAAATTTTAAAAGCATCAAGCAGTAAGTTATGATAGGTGGATGATGTATTTGCTGTAGGTATAATTTGACTACTGAATAATGTTTCATGAAGTGATGCTTCATTGCCATCTTAGTTTTTGAGATCATTGTTGCAATCATTTGTGTCAGTGCATCCAAAACAATCTTATTCAACAATTCTTGATTTTGAAGCTTTGACCAAACATATATTGATTTTTTTCATTCAAACAAATAATACTTCACGATAGGATTCTGAATTCAATGATCACAAAACTGGAGGTTGTGCTTTGACTTGGTAGCAACTCAATATATACCTTTACATCTTTTGATGTCTTTTGAGCTTTTGAGGTGTTTATGTGCTCAGTTGTCGGTGACTGTGAGTGGAAATGTCTTTTTTTTTTTGGTCAAGTCAGTAAATTGGCCAAAACATAAATTCGATTATGAAGAAGAGCATAGATTTAAATGCATGTTCAGCAGGAAAAGTCAAGAAGACAATGTCACACTGGTAAGTGTCTGACCTGGTGACCAACAAGAGAGAGATGTGTCCTACAGTGTATACATTGATGTTGTTCACAACCTGGACATGAACATTGGGTGTGGGGCATGTTTGAGTTTTTATTCTTCGTTGTTTTTTTTTTAGGGGGGGGAGGGGTGTGGGGCTATAGTGTCTTTCAGTCTCATGCAGGCTAAGGTGGCAGATTTGATTCTTGTGCTGTATAACCTAAGGAATCTGGGGGACTGATTAGACCTTAATTTGCAGAAAAGTTTGAGGTTTTGGGGTTTGTAAAAGGTTTAAGAGAAGACTAGTGATTCCAAACTTGAATCTAGGCAAGAGAGTAGGCTCATTTGAGTCTAGACAGGAAGTAACTGTAACTTTGGGGCTATTATGGTGTGGCACATACTTCTTCTTACTTTAAGCTTGGACTGATTTTTGCGTACTTATGATCTGATTTCTTTTTGTTCATTTTGTTGATGCGAATTACTGCTTTTAGCCCATACGTGATCGGTTGGGGAATCTGATTTCAGCTACATAGCATTCACCCCCCCCCCCCACACCCACCCCCCCCCAACACACACACACACGCATCTCCCCCCCAAAACTCCCTCTCTCTCTCAACTTTGAGAAGGATGAGAATGCTATTTTAAGAAATTTGACGCAGGGTTCTGGATTTGTAATTTTAACGTCCAGTTGAACACAAATTCAAATGCTGGATATGGGTGTAGATTGCATTAGGAAAAAATCGGGGGAATTATAGGACTGTAGATTTATTTAGGTGGTTCCAAGTTCCTCTGTTTCGTTTTCGGCAATCACAGTGGAAAAAATTGAAGAGAAAATTGGGTGCTGTTGGCTTTTTGGGTGTCGTGGGCTATGAACATCTCTAATCATTAATCAATTTGAGACTCAAATTTAGAATTTGAAAAAAAAAACTCTAAACATATTTTCCTCCTGTGTTCAAATCTACAAAGATAATTCTATGTCTAATAATTTTTTGCACTAAAACTTGCATCAAATTAACTGCAATCGTTAGATCAGTGATGACACTCACTGCTCTAACGGCTAAAAATGATTTGTTGTAAGTTTTGGTGCACATAGCATTAAAGTTTTGAAATTTCAATGAAAAATTTATATGTTTTATCAAATCAAGGAGGCGTTTAAGTTTTGAAATTTCAGTAATGCCACTTAGTTTGTGTCTTTAAATGGATTATGTTTACTACTTTACATCATCATTGAAGTTCGAACTCAAATCAAGTTTAATTCGAGTTTGAAAATTGGGTTTAATTCTGATGAATCTCAAATTTGATTTGTAACTTACTCAATTCGAATTATAATATTGGTTGTATTTGAATTGAGTTGAATTCCTAAATTTACTAATTCTTGGAATTTAAATCATCTTTAAAGTTTTGTTGAAATACAAAGTGTATACTAAAAAGTTTTACGCAGCTATTGACTAGTTCGAGCTGAATTCAGATTGACAGGGCCTGTCAGATTCGCATCTGTAAGTAACTTGCTAATTTGCCTTCTATTTACACCCAAGAAAAGAATAAAGCTATGTACATAGTGACAGCCATTTACTATGATCTAATGCAAAAAAAATTGATGAAAAACTTGTAAGTGTAACATTATTTAAAAGAAAAAAGGAAAAAAAAAACTTTTCCCTTCCTTCTCCCTGCTACTGCTACTAGGGTTTAGTTGGTGGTGCACATGTTCTGGCGGTGCTTAACCTCAATGTGTCCCTTGAAATTTTTTTTTTTTTTGGTTGCTTCAACGATTAATGGTGTTTAAACTAATTTATGCGTACTTCGATTAACCTTCTTTCCAATTAGGTCAAAGGCAGACCATCCATTGTCTAGTCTTAAGGAATAGTCAAGATTAAAATTTAATTAGAATTACTTTTTAAACTTCAAACTAGTGAGATATGATTCTCTTTTTTGGGTCACGTGTTGGGCCCAGGTTTATCACAAACAGAGTGTTAAGTCACATTCATGACTTGTGGATTTCTCTGCATCGGTCCATTTCCACCTTTTTCAGTTTCTTTCCATACCCTTTGGATTTTTTCTTATTAAAAGGCAATAAAAATCTTGCAAATTTTATGAAGAAAAAAAAAGGAAAATTATGGAAACTTGACTTGAGGAAGAGAATAGCAATACCATATAGAAAAAAAAAATCGAGATCATGCTGAAAAATGAACCTTGATCATAAAGTTTGATTTGAGTTTTTAATAACCATTGATCGTTAAAATAATAAAATAAAATAAAATATTAAAATTATAAGAAGAAATAAGAAAAATACGGTACTAAAAATTATTTTACGGTACCAAAGTCCAATCCCAAGGAAGAAGGCATGAAAGATCTAGTTCGCCAATTTTGGCCTAGACAACGGGGTAGAAACTTGCTTGCTGAATAGTAGATGAGGAAGAGTTTGACATCCATGTCCATGTCCACCCAAGCAGGCTTGATCTGCTTTGTTGGATGGATAGGCACTCGGAAGTAATTCAGCCAGTTTAGACTGTAGACTCCTATTTTGTCACCAATTGAGCTCTGGGTCGACCAATTTGTCGCAATATGAGCTGATGGTGCAACCCCTAGCAGACTTGTGTGAATCTGCATGTTCTTTGCATGCCACAATGGGTGGTCCCAAATGAATCTTCTAGCTTGCCTTCTCAATTTGGTTCCATTCACCTCGTTTTTTCACGAAAGAACACTATGCTCAAGAAAAATTATCTTTTTGTTCAAAATGAGAAACGTGCTAAATTTTGGTAACTAGAATTACGAGGCAAATCGATTTATATTATTTCAAGTCATATCATATTTGGGTTATGCCATTTTTTATTTTTATCGTGTTCATGTTAGTATTTATACTTACAAAAAAAAATTAAAAGCGTTTAATTTTCCAGGAGCAGCGTTTAATTTGGACATATTGTTCAGAAGCCCTGTTATTTTCCAAATTTCTGGATACCAACAAATAAGTTTCTTCTTCAAAATGAGAAACCTGCTAAATTTTGGCAACTTTGTATGGTGGTTATTAGCTTATGTTAGGTGTAGTTTATAGGTGTTTCAATAATTGCTAAGATTGATTGAGATGGTAAGGGTGATAGTAGAGTAGCTATTGTCGTCTTCATACCAATGAAGATATCGTGTTTATTGCACCCACGCAAGATCTCCCCCTCAACCTTTTCACATCATCAATAAAAAAAACAAAAACAAAATAACCGAAAAAAAAAATGCATTAATCAACCAATCCTCTGGTAACCTGTAAATAGTCACTGATAGTGCAGTAAACCAATATAAAAAGAAATGGCAAAACTACATCTAGCAAAAAATAGAAAAAGGCACAATTCTCACATAGAAATAGAGATGTAAATGGGTTTATTTTCATTGATTTTCAAATGAATTTTTTTTTTCTACATGCCAATCTTTTAATTCCCCATCTCCAAAACAGGGGAACATGAATTGCTGTAACAACCAAATGAACAATGAATCATCTACTCTTATATTGTAAACCATGCACCTCAGACTCTAAAGTTAATCCCCTGGTGTTTATCTAACAACCAATTCCAGCATCACCAACTAATTAACGGAAATTGATTACGCTATATGCACCAACGATCAACAACCGTGCAGGAAACAGGAGCACCACAAGCAAATGCATGTGCTGCGATGCAACAAGCCTACTAAACCTGTTCAAAGATTCTCGGCCAGTTTGTAACACGCCCGAGAAGTTGAATTGACCTTGGCCCATGTTCCCTGATACCGGAGACCTCCCCATAATGCTGTTACCAGCATCAATGCTGCGTGCTACAAGAGGCCACCAAAATTTGCGACGGTGCTCTCTCCTAGCTTTCCTCCTACGGATGAGCTCCTGGCGGACTACACTCCGAACAGATTTCCAGTAAGAGTTCATGTCGTGATCTCTTTGAATGGTTCCCCCGGAACCATATGCCGAACGGTCACTTAAGATTTCAAGTGGATGCGGTGAGTTTAAGAACACAGCCTGTGCAGCACGCACCTGCTTCTCTGCCTCACTGGCGTCTGACACTGGGCATCTCAATAGATATAGCCCACTGCCGGAGGGAAGGAGATCATGGTTGGGAGACAATTTCTCATCTGGCTGTAGAATCAGAAACTCCCCCATTGGAGCATACAACAGCCTCTGTTGCATAACAAAACACTAGTTAAACTTAAGTGGTCAAATATGAAGTAATAGTATCAGAGATTGGGTTTTGCATATTAATGACTTCACCTGGTTATTGAGACATGGATGACCCCGAAAGTTTCGATTGACTGCCTTAAGAAGCTCTGCAACATGATTGGGGTAATGGCAAGAGAAGGCTCTAGGTACAATGTCTCGGTGCATTGTGACTGCCTTGATATGGCCTTGAGGCAATCCAAGCTCACGAAGCAGGCGATCCCCTCCACACATAATAGATGGTGCCCCAAACGTTATAACGGGAAGCAAGGAAGAAGGAAGAACTTCCCCCCTAATCAACAGCATGAGATTTACAAGCAGCGACAAGCTACCGCCGAGAGAGTGCCCCGTAAAACGGAACATGGCGCGATCACCATGAAATCTTAGATGCGCACGGACTTCAGGCAGCATCTGCTCATATATCCCCTTTGCAGCCTCATATATACCTCTATGCACAATCACATCCAGTCCCTAAACAATATGACATTCTACTATTTCAGTTAATTGAACAAATATGGAGACTGCCTTATACTGGACATTTATAAACCTTAACTAAACAGCTCCATACGTTAATATATCGTGCCGATTTTGCAAAGTCATCTTTTAACACCCTAAAACCCAACTCAGAAGTGAACCACCTAAGAAACAAAAAGGCATTGTGAAATGTGTGTATGAAAACTACCTCAAACTGAACGGGCTCAAAGAGTAGATTGGCTTGCCACGATGCCAGTGACTCCGATCCCTGAAAGTACCATATTCAAGCAATGGCATAAGATTGCAATCAATATATGCGGTGCTGATCTAAATAAATACAGGCAGAAAATCAGCATTTAAAACCTGCTAATCTATTCATCCATCAACACCCTAATAATCACAATCCACAGCAGTGTGACCTCAGCTCCAGTAATATTAACAAACAACAACTAGACCGTACCTGAATGACAAAGAATCTTGTGCCACTTTGATCATCATCGCAAACGAACCACTCACAGGGTGATGAACGTGTTGAATTCAAATCATCTGCAACAGCCTGCTTCACTTCCTCCTTTGCAGCGACCACTGCTGTCACTGAGTCAGTGGTTGCCATTAAGGAGGCCACCTTTGCGTCCATCATACAAACATTATCATTGGTTCCACTTTCTCCTTCAGGCGGATCTTTAATTGACTTGGGTTTGAAGGATGTAAAGGGAAGGACGCTTGTTGTATGAGCATGCAGATACGAAGCAGCAGAGGCGGCAATCTGATAAGCAGTGGTGACACTTACCCTATTCCCACTAGTAGTCTTCCCCTCCTTCCTGTCCGCAGGCTCCTTTGGGCTTCCTTCTGCTTCCTGAACATCGGCTTCTGCCTTCTCTTTTTCAGCCTTTAGCACTTGTTGTTTCTTTTCCAATGACGAAGTAATGAATCGCAGTCCGTGATATTTCAGGAGATTTCCTGGCTGTACAACCAATAAGATGAAACAAAATCTCCATTCAGACTATTTATCAAAAATATTAAATTTAACATATCTAAGTTTGTCTATAAAAGCAAAATGTTGTGCACTAATGTGATAACAAATCTACTCTAAGAAATATAAATTTAGCCTATTGCTTTTGTTACAGGAATTATAATAGTTGTGGTGAAATTGGGCAGCCTATAACATTCTACTGTCTGGCCATGCCATCCGTATACATAGATGAAAGAGATCCAAGTTTCACCCAAAAATTTCAACCAATCATCAAAAGCCTAGTGTAAGGGGTAGAACCCTCTACTAAGGATTTCGGCTTGACCTGGGTTAACCCACGCGGGCGACCCCCCAGTAGCCTTTACCTCTCTTCGCCAATAGGACCCTTTCCTAAGGCAATCCCACATCGGAAGAGAGTCGTACCTCCTCCATAGGAAGTGTTCACTTATATGGCAGGGGAGGAGACGATTCTCTTCCGATGTGGGATTGCCTTAGGAAAAGATCCTATTGGCGAAGAGAGGTAAAGGCTACTGTATTGCCTTAGGAAAAGGTGCAGGCCAAAATCCTTTCGGAGGGAGGGAATCCTGTCCACCAAAAGGCACCTTTCTGTAAGGGGTAGAACCCTCTACTAAGGATTTCGGCTTGACCTGGGTTAACCCACGCGGGCGACCTCCCAGTAGCCTTTACCTCTCTTCGCCACTAGGACCCTTTCCTAAGGCAATCCCACATCGAAAGAGAGTCGTCTCCCCCCTGTTTCACTTATATGGCAGAGGGGAGACGACTCTCTTCCGACGTGGGATTGCCTTAGGAAAGGGTCCTAGTGGCGAAGAGAGGTAAAGGCTACTGGAAGGTCGCCCGCGTGGGTTAACCCAGGTCAAGCCGAAATCTTTAGTAGAGGGTTCTACCTCTTACACCTAGAACAAAAGAAAATTAGGCCTATAGGGTAAAACTAGATCCGAAACTGTAAGAAGACAAATATCGATCAATCTCATTTCTAACGAGACAGAAACCCATTTACCAATTCCTTCAATTTCACAGAAATCAAACAACTTATACATGGCTTTCTACAAATTTTCAACATTTCATTCGATGTAAAATTCATCAAACAACCCAGCGGTATAAAAAAAAGGTTGATACCATCCAAGACAAAAGAAATCTGAAAATCCGTAGATGGTGTACCTTGATTTGGGGAATGGAATAAGCCAAGTTCCCTAAATACGACATCTGAGCATACAACCTTGCTTCTGCCAACGACACCCTGCGAAGCAGCTTTGAAAACGAACCCCTATTGAATTCAATCTTGTCGTCATCATCAACTGTACATACATTACATTCTTCATCACCACCACCACCATAACATTCGCTGCTGCCCAGATCATTTTCATTATCATTCACCACGCCGGTTTCTTCCTCTTTTTCCCCCAATCCTTCACCGCCACTTTGCCCTTCGTCCTTCCACAAAGCCCTCACATGAAGAATCTTCGACACCCAATTCCCATTCTGTCCATCATTCCCACTCTCACCTTCAATAACCCCTTCTTTTTTCTCTTCCTTTTCATCAACCAGGACAGCGTCATCCAGCGCAATGGCATCGTACCTGTTTCGACCTCCAGGCCACAGAGATCTGAGTGGGTACCTAAAAGAAAACCCCCAAGGCGCAGTTCTTTGAGGCGGCGTCGACAACGACACAGAAGGTTTGTCAACCGAAATCGCATTGGCAGCCGGCGTCGCAGAATGTCCCACCGCGGCGCTAAGGTGGGCTGAAGTTGTACGGACGTCTAAAGCTCCCCCGGCGACCGGGATCGCTGAAGTCACCCCATGAATCCCTGCCTTCAAAAAGAGACTATCCATCTTTTCACTACTACTTCTGGGTATGCCTCTCTTTCTTTGTGGTATTTGTATATGTATATAGAGTTTCAAAGGAAAACCAGGGAATGGGGATCAACGCTAACGTACGACGCCGACGATCAGGCGTTAACGTGCACTACAATTTTGAATTTGAGTCCTTTTCTTTGACGAATTTCAGAGAGAGAGAGAGAGAGATTTAAAGAAGAAGAAGGGAACCGGTTTGTTCTGCGTTTCCAACCAAGCAGGTGACCAACTTTCACAGCTTTCTCTCCCACGGCGATATTTTTGCCCAACTGAATGCAGATCCCTTCTGACCAAAAAATAAAAAAAATGCAGATCCCTTCTTTTCAGGAGGTGACGAACACTAAACGTTTCAAACGACGTCGTCGGAAGTTGGACCTATAATTATCTTTCCTCTGCCCCACGACGTCGTTTCCAATTCGTGATGGTACCTTCGTCGTGTCGGGTAAGTCCAGCTGTTTCGCACAAGGAAGCGCGTGCGGGTTGTGTGAAGCCCACAATGGGGTGGAAGTTTGTGGGACTGCCACGTCAATTCGGCAGTGATGAACTCCAAAAAGGTGTCGTGACGTGTGCATAAAGCTCCTGTTTTTCTCTCTTTCCGTCTCTCGGTAGGTTTGTAAGTTTGAGTTTGCAATACATACGCCCCTGTACCTTAACAAAACAAATACACGTTGTCTGACACGGACACGTGTCGGGTAAGTAAATCCTAACGTTAAGAACAGTCTTATACAAAATTCTAGTTTAAATTTGATTTGGTATTTTTAAGATTCTATCTGGAATGAGTCTTTGTCCCAAAAAAAAAAAATCTGGAATGAGTCTCATCGCAATTCAAGTTCCAGCTGTTTAATATTTCATACAGGCGTCTGACTTTCTGCAATGCATGGGTGATTTCTTCAAATGCAGAGTTATTGTTAGTTATTTTATAAGTTACCAAAATTTTGTAGAAACTATTAGATTGAGAATTTCATGTTGTTAAAAAAAATAATTACGTGGTGGTTAGAGAGAATTTATAGATAGTTATTCATATTAGTTATTCTAGTCATTTGATAGAATATGATTGGAGAATGAGAATTTAATAATTAAAAATTCTCAAAAAAATAAAAAAAAAGTGGGAGGAAGGCTTCTCGAACTATCTTTGTAAGAAATTGTTTGTTTTATATAGATAACCTTTAGATGCTAATTAGATTTTCAAGGTTGCATTAGGTATCCAAATGTTTCTATTTTTTTTATATTTTTATTTTCAATTTTTGTCAAAAATTAAAAAAAAAATGTGTTTGTGATGTGCTTCTATTTTTTTAGCAACTCTTTTTTAAAAACAAGGCCAAAAAATGAAAACATAAAAAAGACATTTTTATAAACACCTAAAAATAAAAATAGGCACTCTTCATACTGGGATTAATGAGATTTCGGTTTCGATCCTCCTTAGCAACAAAAAAATGAGTTTTCTTGATTAAGCATCAAAATTCCTCCCCTTTCATTCCCTCTTTTTCCCGCCTCTCTTTTGTTGGCATCTTGCTCTCTCTCGCCTCTATTTGATTTTTTTTTTGTTTGCGATAGTTAAGTAGTGAATTTTCAAGTGTGTTGGTGGTGGGTTTTCGATTGTGTTGATGGTGATTTTGAAATGGTGAAGATGTTGATGTTGGGTGGTTGGTTTTTGAATAGTGGAGACGTTGGTGTTGGATGGTGGGTTTTTGGTGGTTGAGTGGTGGGGTTTCAGGGATGTTGATAATGGTTTTCGTTGGGTTGGATGGTGAATTTTCGGTGGTGTATTTTGGAATAATGGAGACATTGGTGTTAGGTGGTGGTTTTGTGATAGTTGTGTGGTGCATTCCTAATTGTATTTTGAGGAACAACATATCTGAGATTAAAAAATTAACTAAAATAACCGAAAACACTATTATAGCAAACATGCTTATTATTTTTATTTTCACAATTTTTTAAATATAAATAAATATCAAATATATTTTATATTTTTAATTTTTATCATAGAAAAAAAACAAAAAATTTTACCAAATGCACCCAAGTCAAAAGCTCAAAAAAATTACTAAAAAACTTATGCATTAACGTATGGACTCAAACCTAAATGTGTGACCAATGAGTCCTGGAAATTCATGAATTTAAATTGTGTATAAAGTGGGTGGGTAGGTGTATGTATGTATGGACCACAAAGTACGGGTGAAATTCTTTAAATGTTGTTGAACGAACGACTTCTGATGAATCTTGTCGTTAATATCTACATTTCTGGTTACTAATAAATTCATTAATTGTTGTTGGGCCTCTCAGTGAAAGATCTTAAGATTGGGCCCCCACCTAAGCTAGATAGCATCACCAGCCACGGGGAGTTGCACACTATGACAGTCGAACAAGTTATTTAAACGCATAATTTGATTATTATTATTTTTTAAAATTAATATATTTTAATTTATCAAAAAATAAAAATATAAAAGATATCGTTGAAGTCTCGATATACTAAACAAAAAGCATTGTGCTTAATCCAAAACCTTTGGAGTTGGAATATTTTGTTTTAAATACTCTGAAAATTAATACGTTTGACGTTTTTCAAACTAAACGAAATGGAAATTTAATTCCATTTGCAATGTGAAACAGTTTTATTCTTCAAAGGAAATTCACTCTATCTATGTGGTATGCTCCCCCTAGAGCTTTTTGTGTTTTAGATTTGCAATAATGGTGCTCACACTATAGTTGTATATGACCTTCTTTTCATTATTGAATATGATACAATTATAATTGTTGAATTTTAGTAGATTCAATAAAATTTATTGATACAATAGTACGCATTGATGTAGAGTACAAAAATAGCATGCTAACGTCTTTCTTAAGGGTGCAACTCTAGGGGTTGGGATGGTCCATTGGTTAATCAAATTTCACCCAATTTAGAAAACATTCATTTTGAATCTTCACCTCGAATATTGTTCATGTTTATATTTTTAAATTCAAGTTAAACTCAAGTGACACACCCTATTGCAATTCAAATTGAAATCGGGATCAATTTAGATTAATTCTCGAGTACTAGAATTTTATTTCAAGTTCACTTTGATTGAATCCGAGGTTGATTCTCAAGTTATACAATTTGGTATATAATTGAGGTTCAATGTTGGTGGAAGTTGGGTCAACTCGGGTTCAAATATTGACTCTTCGGGTTGAACTCAAGTTAGCCCAACAAATAGCTCTGTTGGCTTAAACCGTCAATCTGGTTCGAGAAACGTCTCTACTTTATATCATATGAGCACTTTTTTTCTGTGCCAGAAGCACATCTCTTTGGAAGTCTTTACCAAATAAATCCCATCTCTTTCAGAGGTACTCTCTCTTTCGATGCTTCGTTTTAGAGTTTCTTCACTAACCGATTTATATATGAATATGAATTATATTGCGACTCTGATGTTAACCTAGATTTTCTTTGTTTTGGTATTCAATTCCTTATTTTTTTTCGTGATCTTAGTAAGAGGCAACAGCTTTATAATGAGCAATCCTATAATGAATAAAAAAATGTCAAAAAAAATGGACCAAATGACGTGAACTAACGTGAGAAAAAAATTTAAACTGAATGTCAAATCTATATTAAAAATAGTCTTGAAATTTATTTTGTTGAAAATGAAATTGAGTTTTAAAATTGCGATCAAAGAATCGAACGTTAAATTTACTCTTCTTAGTATTTTTGAATCCTATTTTTTGATGATTCAGTTACTTTTTTAAAATTTTGTTTGATGCTAATAGAATTGAAGTGGATTGGAGAAGGAAGTTGCTGTGCATGGAATGTGAACAACTCCTCTACAGTAAGGAGTTTTTCAGAAAGAATTTCATTTTATTCCTCCTTTGTTGAGCAGTGCAGCACATGATGTACAGTTCAGAGATGATCCCAATGTATAAGTTGCTCTGCATATCACATTCTACCTTGAAATGTATATGTTTAATTACAAAGTAATATTCGGGTTATTGAACTTTCAATAAGCACAATGGTCTTAGGTGTTTTGAGTATAGTGTGATTTGCTATAATCATTTGTTAACACAGTGGTTGGATTAAGTACTCGATTACCTCTGTTGTGTCATGTATCAAGTTATACTCCAGCTCGTCTTTAGCTTCCCTCCTTTCATTTGAACTTGGAAACTCTAATTTTTGTTCAATAAATTGACGGGATGTATAAGTTTTTCGTGTTGCTCTCTTGCTGCTCATGCATCTTAAACCTTCTGATGGGACTCTTCTGAAAAACCCTATGATGAAGACACGTGTCCTCGGGATTTCTGGAACAGTGTTTCTCGCATTTATGCACCATCGGCAAAGAGTGTCCTCTCCCTCGAGGTACCTCTCACGTAGAATCATGCATTTGGTATTATACAAAACAAAACACGTGTCCTCGGTCACCCGTGTACCTCGAAGCATACCACCCTCGGTCCCCGAGGTGATCCTTTCCTCGGTGCCGAGAGTCACTCCGTCCTGGACGCTTCCTCTACTCCCGGATAAAGCTACGGACGTAAAGGTCATTAGCCTATGCCGGTCTAGACTATTCATCATGACCTCGTCTTACACAAGTAATGTCAGAACATGCCGAATACAGTATCACAGCCAGTAAGGGGTGGACGTGTGGCAAATGATGTCACATCAAAGACAGACGAACGGCACGCCGTTACTGACACGCGCTGTGGGAAAGCAAACAATTAATTGCACCCTTCTGTTGACGAAACCGCATTCAATGCGGTAAGGTTCGGATATGAAAGGCAATAAATGCTCCTATTACAGAGCATTTATTGCATCCTTCCGAAAGGAGCATATTGTACCGTCGGCGTCCCGACGACTCAGCATTGATTGCTCGGGACCCCGAGCAGTCAATTAGAGAAGACATTCCTCATCGAATCCATACACACGCTACCTATGCCTGATGATCACCTACTGACCACACTGACAGCAATCATGAGCTTTTAAGGTATAAATACCCTTCCCAAAAGGCAAAGCGGGTATGCAATCA